CCAGCATAAGTTATTGGTGTGAATTATGAATATTTTCATACAGTGTCCCGTAAAATTGTACAACGTTATATATCTTCTATTAAATTTTTGTTTTCATTGAACATTACTGATACAATATGTTTAAGATGAAAATAATTTAGAAAAATAAATACATTAATATAATTTCATATTTTTTTTTAGAATAAAACACCTGTATCTTAAAATCTCAATGAAATATTCTGTTTGGGGATTGATTAGCCACATGCATTGTTTTTTATTATTTAAATGTTTTTTTTTTTTAATATCAAAATCAGTTAAATGAAAAATAATCAATAAAAGAATTTTAATTCTTTCATTATAAGAACAATGAGCTAATCTCTCTCTAACTATATTGAAAACTGACTCGAGTAAAACTGACCTAAATGTTTAAATCAGCATGCATCTTTTATGTTAAACATTGTCAACTTACTTGGTGATAAAAAAATCTCTCCTTTCAAATTGCAACGAACGCACTCACATATACGGATTTCCAGTGACAACGCCATTCACAACACAATAAACTTTATTTTACACAGAGATAATTTTATCACTTCCACGCATAAAATATTATATATTACAAAATATTTATTTACTTTGTGTATTTTTTATTTTAATAATTAATTATATCGCACACTTTAACTAGTTCTTTTTTTAATTCGGTCATACGTAAAACGAAGTACAATTAACGGGATTAATCATCGAAATATTTTTCATGATAGTATAGATAAAAAAAGAAAAAAAAAATCCAACATAAAACACTGTGTATTTAACGTTAAAATAAAATAAATACATTATTAAAAAGATGTGTAGTGTATAATATCGAAACACGCGTAAACACATCTCGTCGGAAGCCGGTAAGAACGTTGACTAAGAAGAACAAGGAGAAAAGATATTTTAAACTAGCCGAAAAAAAAATCTTTTCAGTTATTAAATGTTTTGTTTATAATTTACTTATAACTTCTAGCTCTTACGTCAACGTATATATTCTAACGTAATCTCTTTTATTCTAATAAACATCTCACCGCCGAATTTATAATGGCATTGACCTTCGTGTATGTTCGGTATCTGTCGTGTATATTCCGAAACCAATTTTCATACTTATTGTTAGTCTCTTTCGAGCGTTGGTAGATGTAACATCGGTATTAGATAAATATATATAATTTTTTTCGTTTCGCGTATACGCGTGTGCATTATGATCTTCCTATGCAAGTGATATATATATATATATGCATATGTGCACGAGTGTGTGTTTAATTCTAAAGTGTGATATATACATATATGCATATCTGCAGACAGTATGGTATGCATATGTGCGCGAGTGTGTGTTTAATTCTAAAGTGTGATATATACATATATGCATATCTGCAGACAGTATGGTATGCATATGTGCGCGAGTGTGTGTTTAATTCTAAAGTGTGATATATATATATGCATACTTGCAGGCAGGTATGGTATGCATATGTACGCGAGTGTGTGTTTAGTGCTAAATAGTGATATATACATATATGAATACCTTCAGGCAGGATATGGATATGGATAATATGCAGCATTGGACATAAGAACAAAACGCATCTAACGTAGGCTAACCATCATTTTTTTATTTTAACGCTATTTTTACCATAAGTGTCATAAAATACCTATCGAAAGTTTCTATTGAAATTATTATCATTAGTTTTAATCGATTTCCTTTAATGAATTTTGGATTATTCTTATAATTGAATTATATAGGGATGTTGAATTTATTATTTTGATATCTTTTTTTTTTCTTCGAGAATCTTAAAGTAATTTTTAACAATTATTCTCATATATTTATATTTGCATGTAAACGAGATAGGTATTATACACAAGATTGTGGTAGAAATAGCGTTAATGAATATTTAATTGATTCTAATACTAAAAAAACATTAAAGGATGAACAATCGTTAGGTATTAAAAAAAAGAACCAGATATTCCCCACCCCCCATCCGGTTCTTACAGTTATATCCCAGAACGTACGATTTTTCTTTTAACGAACGTTTTCTCTCAATTATTATCGTATTTAATTAATTCATTTTTTTTAATAAATAAAGCCCTCAACATTCAAACTCATTAAACATAATATAATTAAAGTATAGCAATGCATATATTTCTAAATCGTTTTAATTTTAAAACACATTGTATCAATATCGATAACGGTATATTATTTTTAAAAAAGATACTCTCTCATCGCGTATTTCTATATCAGTTAATAAAAAAAACTATTTATTATCTTTTACACAATTAAGAGTAAAAGTATAAAAGAAAAACAAAAAGAGAGAAGTAAAGACTTTTTGTATTGCGTGTAACCGAAGATGGTAGTTTGGGTGGAGAAGAGGAGGTGGAACGGGGTGGTGGTGGTGGGTGGGGTGGGGGTGGNGACTTTTTGTATTGCGTGTAACCGAAGATGGTAGTTTGGGTGGAGAAGAGGAGGTGGAACGGGGTGGTGGTGGTGGGTGGGGTGGGGGTGGGGAGGGGAGTTTGTTCGAGGCAAAAAATATATGGCACTCGAGTGAAGGGCAGAAATAAACGATTTTGTAAAGATAAAAAGTAAAATCGTTCTGAAAGCCAAGCAACATCGAATGGGTTGGTTGTTCGTGAACTTGAAGGCCGCTCGTTATTGTGCACCGTATTGAATCGATCGATCGAATGGCGGCCGTCGGCTTGGCGCGTCAACTTGACTGCAACTGCAACTACAACTGCAAGTTTATTTTTTTGTTTGTTTTCTTTTTTTTGTACTTCTTAATTCGTTCGATCTATATCCAAAAATTTTCTTAACAATTGATAATAATTTTTATTTAATTTTTTCGTTCCTTCTTCCATTTGTTTTTTTTTTCCGCAGTTTTTTATTTTTATTCTTGACAAAATTATAATCATTGAAAGATAACTAGGACACTATTTACGTAACTAAACGATCATAACTAACAACCAATTTTACCTACGTTACAATTGTATTTTTTTTCATTTTGTTATATATAAAAAAAAAAAATAATGTTCGTCTTAAATAATTCTATTAGGTAGTTATTTTTTAAAAGAGAGAGAGAAAGAAAGAGAGGCATTAAAACAAAAGAACGATTTTAAATTTATCGAATTAATAACTGCATTTGTAATCATTATTTGTCGTTATTATCTATTGAGAGATGATATAAAAGTTAAATAGAATTGCATAACATTTGATGTGTATATTTAATTGCCAGTTTTTATACGCGTAGATATAATCTATGTTCTTTTATATTTTCGAATTTATTAAATAATATATCACGTGCAATTAAATCGTTTCTGTCGGGTTGTTATATATTAAAAAATAATAATAAAAAAAAAAAGATACAAGAATGGGTAGTAATTAGAGAATATCTCGCTAGATATTATGTATTATACGAGCAACAATTAAGTAACGAGACGTAGTATGAATTTAATATGCTCGTAAATTGAATACAACTTTGACTCTTCCCTCTTCACAATTTTTCTTTTTTTTTATTCCTGAATAATTCTGCACAACTTTTTTCATTATCGTGTAAATTAAAGAACGATCGAGAACTTTTGAAATACTATAGAAATAATAATCGATAATAAATTGAAATAAAAGTAGTATTGCGATATTACACGTTGAATAATACGAAATAACCGTATGTGCATGTTATGCAGGATTATATTATGCAATAAACGTCGTTTGTATATTTTTCATAAAAGCGTTTCTTTTATCTCTATTTCTCTCTCTCTCTCTCTCTCTCTCTCTCACTCTTTTTTTCAATTCCTAGGTTATTGTAAACGAATTTTCCTTCATTCGAATTGAAATCAATTTTTACAAATTGTTCGGTTTCCCTTTTTTTTTCTCCAAACTTTTTACTTCAAATTGCACACATGTTTATTCAAGTGTAAAATCATGAGACAGAAAAAGGAAGTACCCTGTAAAAGGAATTACATTTTTATACATATGTATATCATATGGAAATTTAGAAATATTTGTATATTTGTAATGTTATTACACGTATATAAAATTGTTCGTAATATTCAATAAATTTGTAACTTCGTTTTGTTCTCGACTATAGATTTTCTACAATTTCTATTGCATACAAATTAAAATGTTTATTTATTCGTTACAGACAAAAAATGAATATTTAGAAAAATTCGTCAAATTCGATATTCCATATCTCTTTTGCTTGTTTATTTATTTTTTATTCAAAACCTGTAGCTATAAAATCAACATTCTCTTTGAGTCTATTTATACGATTGTATTTATTTTATTTTATTTTCATATATATATAAAACACATCCTATCAAAAAATCTTATTCGTATATAACTGGAATTCTAAACAAATTCGATGAAAACTAAATCTTATTAATTTACATTTTAAACAACAAATTTTATTTCCATTCGAAAATAGTTCCAACCAAAATTTGCATTCCATGCAAACGTTATTTTGTTGTTTATATCTTTTCGACCAACAGAGTGTTGCAATATCGGTGAAAAAGAAAAGGAAAAAACATTCTCTTAAAAAAAAAAAAAAAAAAAGAAAAAGAAAAAAGCGATATAGAAAGAGAGAGAGAGAGACACACAGGACATGAATAATTATGAATTTATAAAAATAGTTAAAAGAAAACCAAAATAAAACACACCATTGATAAAAAATATGAAAAATCACATAAAAATATTGACAGATAAAAAAGGGACGATGAGATAGGGGGGCAGGGGGATTGACATTAGAAGTGTAGTGGAAAGAATGGAAAATATAAAAAAAGAGATACGATAAAATATTCAAAGAGAAAAATAGAAGGAGTGAGGGAATGAAAAGGGGTGGTGGGTAGGGGGGGGGGTTGTATGAATAATTATAGATTTAGAAAAATCTTGAAAACGTTGAAAAGAAAAAAGGGTGGGAAGGGGAAAATGAACGGAATAATGGGACGAAGTGGGGGTTGGGGTGGGGGGTGGTGGTGGGGAGGGAATAGAATAGAAGAAAAAATGGAATAAAAGGAGTAATAGTGGCAAGAAAAGAATAGAGGAAGCATTATAATATGATGTTAGATGGAAAAAGAGGGATGAGTATGAACGTGTGTATGTGAGTGAGTGAATGAATGAGTATATGTGTGAGAAAAAAAGAGTGAGAGAGAGAGAGAGAGAGAGGTAGAAGGTAACGTGGCGCCGCGACACGTCACGACGCTCAGTCTACCGGCGTCGTTCGTAAACGTAACACAGTTTACTATGATGTGTCACGCGACGATTCGAGCTTAGATTTAGTTTTCGTTTTCATCGTTGATAAAAGGGGGGGAAGAAAGAAAGCAAGCAACTAAGCAAAAAAGAAAAGAAAGAAAAAAACAAACGAACAAATTAATTATACTAATTTGTACAAATTCGGCAAGATATTTTTTTATCCTCTAAGATATATTGTATAATATTTCTTTTCATTATTTTGTTTCTCTTTTGTTTTTTTCGTTCTAGCCATCTTTGGCCATTAAAAAGAACACACATCACAATTCGATCGATAATTCACATCTTTTTATTTATTTATTTATTTATTTATTCGTGATTTATTTTGGAAGATAAAAATCATTTGATTTTTTTAATACGGAAGGTATATATATATATATATATATATGTATATATGTATGTGTATGTATATATGTCATTATAGTGATCGAATTATTTATTATAATGTATAATTTTATTTGTTTTTTATAAATAATAATCATATTGTGTACTTTGATATATTTTTTTTTCTTTTTTCATTTAAATTTATTATTTCAATGTATTTTTTTTCTTTTTTTATAATAGGACCTTTCAATGAGAATATTATTATTGAAATATTATAAAATGAATTGTTTAAATGTTAGAATGTGTTTTAATGAAATTAAATGCATGGTTTATGTCAAATTTTGAATTTGAATGGAAGCACGTGCGTTCGACAACAATAAACGTGAGTTACGTTATAAATGTATGTATGTATGTAAACAAATGTACATACACGGGGATGGGGATGGGGAGGGGGAGAGAATATTTACACTTATGCATATGTATTTGGCGTGTGTATAAATTACATACATAAAAATATGTGCGTACGCATATAAAATATTATTTATATTAATTTATTCCTGACAAGTTTTTCGTTTCAATTAATTAACACGCTTATCGTCATTCAGATCAACTAAAGTTTAGGTTGTTTTTTTCTTTTTTGTTGTTTTTTTTTTATTTTTTATTGATATCTCTATTCTAATTTATATATTTTATTCTTACCATTCGAAATCTTCTTAATTAATTGGCAGAGCACGAAATTCAATTTACGTGATTTAAGAAGATACCACGAGCGAATTTATCTTCTCCCTTCGCGTGCTTGTAAATGAAAGTTCTCTCTTTTTTTTCTGTTTTTTCTTGTTTTTTTTTTTTTTTTTCATCCAATTACTCGAATAAATCAGAAAATTCAAATCTAAACAACTCGTGATTGCATCTGGGAATCAAATTAAGCCGAAGAGTACTTACGATAATTTATAAATAGAAAAAAAGGATTCTAAGAATATGAGGGGGGGGGGAGGAAGAATGTTTTGATTAGTATTAAAAATAAATATTTCACGAAATAAGTATTCAATCAATTGAAATCTATAAAATAATTGTATTAAAATAATATATATTCATTTAAGATATATACTACTATTTTTTCAATAGTGTTTCTTTTTTTCCTATACATATTTTTATTGATATTAAATGTTGTGGTTGTTGTAATTTATTTTAGTAAATATCATCGAGCGAAACAACACGTACAAAATCTATACGATCATCTTTAAAAATAAGCATAAGTTAGGTGGCCAAGAAAAATGTGTACAAATGTTCGAGTTAGATGCCAAGTTTTCCTATAGGTATATCATTATAAATGTAATAAATAGTTGAAAAGCTCGTTAAGTTGATATATATATATATAAAAATATGAATGTGAACCGACAAGATAATCCCACACTGTCTACTATTTTCTTCCAAAAAACGACAAGGTAAAACAACCCCACGTTGGATTTAAAAAATTGATGCCAATCGATAGTTACCTTTAACGATGTTTTAACTATATTTCAAACGAATGAAGTGTCCCCCAGTTGTATTTCCATATAAGAACCGTTCGATTAGTTATTTTTTTTTTCTGTTCTTTTTTTTTGTTCTTTTTCTTTTTATAAAATTAGACACAAAACAGCAAATCATTTTATTAACAAACCTCCCTCAACCCATTACGTTAAGCTTGATTTAAATGATTTGACCGAGTACTAGTAATTCAATATTGCTAAACAAATATATATTGATTATTGAAATTAAATTATTTATAATAAAAAAAGAAATATATATTCAAACGTCGATAATTTATCTTTCTTTCTTTTTTTCTATTTTTTCTTTTGCTTTTTATATTTATACACGAATAATTTATAATTCTTGTCAGGATCTGTCCAAAATTTGAATAACGCGAAACGTGGGGGATATAGAAAGTAGATACTAACGTTTATCTAACAATAAGCTTCTATGTTTTATGTGTATATATATATATATACATAGAAAAGACGTTTTAAAGTCACGCGACGTGCACGACACCGTGGTGTGTCTTCTATCGGTTTTAATGTTTTACACTTTCTAGTTTATTTATCTCGATTTCGCGATATGACCTTTTTTTTATCTAACAGATCGTTTCACCGTAAAAAACATACAGAAACTTGTGTGTATAAAGATATATATATACACATACATAGAGGTATACGTTAAATGAATTTGAATTTAAAAACACTCTATCATATCTCTCTTTAATGTTGGATCATAATAATTATCGTATATGTAATTGTAATCATTTTAACACGTGAAACATTTATTACAATATTGATATATTCGTTGTTTGTTTATAAATATGCGTGAGAAAGATATTTTACAAAATAATTTCAATTATTTTAATATTTATTTTTGCATTTGAACAAAGTGATATTATAAAATAATTAAATGTTATATCAATTTAGGAGAGACTTCGTATATTAATTTATTAAAATATATAATGCTTTCTTATTTCATACTTTAACTGGAATAATTATTTCATGAATTATTCTTTAACAGTAACATATGTTTATAAATACGTATCTCTTGTACATATTACGGGTATATATTACAGGTACATATTACACATGTAACATTGTATCTTTTTATATTTATAGAATATATAAACGGATATGTAAAATACGTATTAAGTATAAACCTTTTTCTATATTTAGTAATATAGGTCGATAACAAGCGTGAGATTAAAAGAATAAAGAAGATAATTAAAAAAGAAAATAAAAATAATAATAATAATAAATAAATAAATAAATAAAAAAAAGAAGAAAAAGAAAATGTGTGTGAAAACGGTTCTCGATCGATGATTCGCTCAACGATGCGTTTATTAACCATTATAAGTTAAACTTTATTATATTTTGTAGTACGAAATTCATTTTTAACGACCGATGAAACTGCAGTTAAACAACGAAGGAATATTTGTTTAATGTTAACGATTAATGTTCGAATAAAAAATAAATAAATATATAGAAGGATAAAAAAAACAGAGAGAGCAAAATTTTATGGGAAAGGAATTAACGTACGGAAATATTATTCTTTTATGTGTTTTGTATATATGTTTCTTTTTGTATTCCTTTTCTTTTCCTCATTTTTTTATTTTCTTTTCAAATCGGAAACTAATTAATTGGTCGATCGTGTGTAACTTTTCAATATTTGTTTAACTTTAAAATTAACTCGGAGAATATATATTGCACAAAAATATATATATATATATATATATATATATCGAAATAATATATTTATAAACAAATTCTTCTGTCTACGTTAAATATTTTATCGAGAAACTCACTTACGATATATATCCAACAGTCATAAATAATAAAGATTTATTCCCATCGAAAGGACTGACTTTAAAACTGACTTAAATTCAATATTTTATTACTCGTCTCGGTGTGATTACTATAAATCCTTTTTTTTTTTTTTTTTTTTTTAATAACCTTGTATATACATTTTCAAAAACCCAGTCCTATCTCTATCAGAAAAAAAAAAAAAAAACAATAATCCAATTTCTCTAACGTAATAATATTATCAAAATTAATTAACAATTCAATATTATATTTAATAAAATTCTATTTTTGTTATTTTTTTTCATTTTTTATCATTTATAATTGTTTTAATACAATTTTACACATAATAAATATCTAGATACATACATATATATACAAATACATTGATAGAGAAACATATAAATGAAAGTGATCGTGAAAAAAAAAAGAAAAGGTTAGAGAAATGAAATTTTTAACAGTTGATCGTTAATATCAAGGCCAAGTTCGTAAGAATTAGGAGGGCTCGTCAAGGGCCCTATCACAGCACCACTTAACTTATCGATTGTATCGAATCAACTCGAGTATAACTCGATTGCGTTCTGGTTAAAGTCATTAATCATCGCGTTCTTCTATCTTTGTTTCCTTCGTTCTATCTATCATATTCATAAATTTACTCGATCAGTTTTATGGGGTAGAGGGAGGATGGCCGGAGGGGCAGAAGGGGGGGGGAATCTTTCTATTCAAATATATAATATATATATATAGATTTTCTCTATTATGTTTGAGCTTTGTCTGAGAAATAAGATGATTTGCGATTAGTCAAAAATTTTCACACACAACACGACGAAGACAACGACGAAGACGACGATTCAACGACGAAAAAGACGCCACAAGTCTTTCGTTTTGGCATTGAATGTCTCGAAATGTTGGCACTAAGCCACGAAGATTTATTAATAATAAGCTAGATTTTTGTTGAAAGTGTAACTCGATCATTACGAATCGACTTAAACGTATACGGGCGCCTCTTCTGCTTGGCCTTTGCCAATTTTTTTTCTTCGTTTTGTTTTTTCTTCCCTTTTTCTTTTTGTTTTTAAAAAAGAAAGAGAGAGAGAGAGAGAGAGAGAGATTCCGTATTCGTTTTATTCTTTTACACATTGACCTCGACACCCTCTCTGTTCTTTTTTTCTTTTTTTTTTGGTATGATTTAATTTCTTTCTTTTTTTTTTATACGGACGATACGTGAAAGAAATAAATTATTATATTAATTTTTATATATATATATATATATAAACATTGTTCGTTAAGATTTGTTTGTTTTTTATATATAGATATTATTTTCGAATAATATTTATTCCAAAAGATTTGATGATTCGAAACTTGTGCGTTAACTTTCTTATTTTTAAGTAATACGAGATAAGAATAATCTAGTATTGTATTCAAGTAGTTAGAACTGATTTTTTATCTCAAGTGGATGCACGTACATGCAAAAAATTTGCTTTTTTTCTTTTTCTATTTTCTCTTTTCTCCGTTTTTTTTTTTTGTTTTTTGTTCTTCATATCAATTTCATCTATTATTTTGTTAAAAACATTATCTTTCCTGAGAAAAACCCATACAAGAATAAGACGATAAATGTTGAATTTTTTATTGTAAATTAATCGATCGAATTGTGATAAAAGGAAAGAAAAAACATATTATTTATCGATACTTGTGGAGTATTTTGAAAACATGTGTGTGGGCATCGTTCAATGATGTGATCTTTAAGATAATCAATATTCTCTTTAGATAGATATAATCTACTTTTTTAACGAAAAATAAATCTACGATAAATACAGGAAATTATGTATTTCAATAATATCGTATAAGCTAATAAGCGTAATCAAGATTTTTATATTTTCCCCCGAAAAAATTAATTAATTCTTCCAATAGCTAATATATATTATATTTTGTTGTTTTTACACTTCCTTTTGAGATTCAATCAAAAATTAATTTTCTATTTTATTTTTATATAAAAATTACTTCGTTCTGTATTTATTTTTCGTTAAAAATTTCGTAAAATATTAAAGAAAATCTTTCCAACAATAACAAAAAAAGAAAAACCTTTCAAAAAATTTATCGTATTTATTTAAACGTAATAAAAATCAACGAATTTGAAATCGGCCAAACCGAGAACTCTTGAAAAGGAAATAAAGAACATTTGGAACTACTCTACGTTTAGCCTTGTTTTACGGTTGAACAATTTTTCCGAACTCTCAATGGAGAAATCGTCGGGAAAATATTTACAGTAGGGCGTTATACAAATTTATAAAACACAACGTTCTCCCAGTGGCGTCTCGGTTCCCAACGAAATTGCTTTCGAAAGCTTTTTTCCCCCCTTTTCCACCTCCTCCTCCTCCTCCTCCACTGCGACCACCCCCGCCCCATTTTAACCACCCTTCATTCGACACCCTTCACCATCTCTCTTCCTTCCACCTTAAAATCCATTTTAAACTGCATTTCTTTTTCTCTCATTTCTTTTCTATATCTTTATTTTGTTTATCTTATATATTTTTTGCTATATCTCTCTTGCGAGGTTTTTTCTCTCTCTCTCTCTCTCTCTCTATTTATCTTGTTTTTCTTTTTTTTTTCTTTTCTTTTCTTTTTTCTTTTTTTTACATAAAATAATCTCCCCATTTACGCGATTTCCCCTCCATTTATTTACGTGGATTCACTTTACTACCAGAACCCTTATGTTACCGCAATAGGTTGTACGTTGGGGGGGGAAAAACATAAATTCAGGGATTGATTCCCTAATGGTGTAATTTATTTCGTAATTGAGTAAACATGTTTAATAATCGTTAGTAAATTTAATAAACAAATTTGTGAGATTATTAAAATACTGGAAATCGACGAGAAGATATATATTATACTGCTAAGAAAATTATTAAGAAAATAAAAAAGGGGTACGCCTTGTTTTTTTTCGTGTAACCATAATAATTAATATTAAATGGTAGAGAATTATCACACACACATACATACGTTTATTAATTCAATTTTTTTGTTTTTCATTTCTTTCTAATTCATTGAATTTTATTTATTTATTTTCTTGTTTTCAATATTTCTATATCTCTCGTTTCCTATTTTTGTTTCTTCATTTGTCTATTTGTTTGATGTGAGTCTCGTAGATAAGCACAAACGTGAAGTACGAGTAAGCGGAAAAATATGAGTCGGAATAGATAGAATTTAAAAAATATAAACAAATAGAAGAGACGTAGGATAGATAAAAAAAAAAACACAAAAAGAGATAGTGTGCGTGTGTGTTGTGTGAGAGAAAGAAAAAAAGAAAAATAACTGAAAGGTCGCATACAATATAAAATCTAAAAGTCAAAACCGAGTAATATTATTGAATATTGCATAAATCAAATATATACATACATACATATATATTTTTTAGTTGCATATTACAAAGTTTTAGAATTATTAATATAAAATAGTATATATATAGAACAGTCCCATTTCTTTCACACTTTTTTCACCATAATTATAATATATTTATATTTCTTATTTCTTTTTCTTTTTTTTCTTGTTATTTTAATTTATCTCTTTCTTTCCATTTTTTTATTATCATTCTTATTTCATACATCTATCTTTTTAATCATTTTTATTTCTACTTTCTCTGCCTGTCTCATTTTTTTTAATCTTCTTTTCTTTCTCTATTTTTCTCATTATGTATTTCTATCTATCTGTCTATATCTATATCATCTTTTTGTACGACTGTCATATATATATATATACGTGTATGAATCTATGTGTCTATCTTTTTTTCATGATATCACATCTCGACGCTCATCAAGCTCTCTCACTTTCTTTAGTCTTTTTGTCGTGGTTCCATTGAAACAAGCGTGCTTCCTATCTAACGATTCTCGTTATATCTAGGAGCTTTCTAACATTTACAAAATCACACGGCTTCGGACAATCATTTTCAAGAATATCCTTCGACACTATATACATATATATATATTTTTTGATGTTTCAAAAAAAAAATATATTAATAATTAAAAAATACTCATTGAAAGGTCACATTAACTATTTTAATACTTTTATGATTTTTACAATAAATAATCAATGAAATAAATTTAATTCGACACAACGTATAAAAACGCGTAACTTAATTAATTCGTTAGATTGAAACACAATCGAAGATTATAAAACGTAATTGGAAAAAAAAAAGTTAATTACGTGCGTGTTATAAAAAGTACTCGTCGTTAATTGATAAACAAATAAAGAATGAAAGAATGAAGTCAAAAAGTGGAAAAGATTGTGATGGAAATTAGTGAAACGTCGGATGAAGAGGACGTAGAAGGATACATTGGGAATAATACTAAAGTTATATCAAGATTTGATTTAGTGGATGTAATAGAATCAACGATTAGAAGTGTCATTTTAGAAGATGTTACTACCGTTGTTTGTAAGGAAAAAAATGAGAAAGAAGAGACGACGACTACGACTACTAATAATAATAATAATACTACGACAAGTGATGATAGAAACATATATTTGACCATTTTGAAAGGTGTTATAATTATCGGTATTATTTTGACTGCACTTATCGGTAATGCAATAGTCGTTGCAAGTGTTAGAAGACATCGTAAATTACGTGTACCTACTAATAGATACGTCGTCAGTTTGGCTGCTGCTGATTTTTTAGTTGCAGTTTGTGCTATGAGTTTCAATGCATCCGTTGAATTGTACGGTCATTGGATTTTTGGTCGTACGATGTGCGACGTATGGAATTCTATGGATGTTTATTTTTCTACAGCATCTATCTTACATCTATGTTGTATCAGTGTTGACAGATATTACGCTATTGTAAGACCATTAGAGTATCCTGCTATTATGAGAAGAATCACTGTAACTTGTATGTTAGCAAGTGCTTGGACATTGCCAGCCTTTATCAGCTTTATTCCTATTTTTATGGGATGGTATTCTACCGAAAAACATCTCAATTATCTTCGAGATAATCCACAGGTAGACATTCATTTTCCTTTACCCCTTTGTAATCTTTATTGAAACGATAAGATCGTGTTTGGTAAATTGGTAATTGAAGAAACAAAAAGAATTGGTTAAAGAGTTTTATTTTTTTGTGATTAATTATTATACATCGAGACATTGTTTGTATTTTATTAATTATCTCTTGAAATACACCAAAAAAAAATAAACACCGATGTTTTATTATATTGTATTTCTTCGACTCGTTCTTATTACTTTTTTTTCTGAGGTTAAAATAATTAATATTCAAATAATTAAACTCTATCAATATATTCAATTCCTCGTTTGTTCTCTTATTTTTGTTTTCATTTCTTAATTTGTACGAATTATATTAAAAAGGAAAGAAAATAAGATAGAATAAGGTCTCGCAAAAGATTATTATTATTATTATTATTATTTTGGAAACTAATTGAAAAATGATTGCCAACATACATGATTATTATTATTATTATTCTTTTTTTTTATGGTGTAATACATAATTCGTATTTTAACGAGGGATTTCATTAGTCGCGGTTTTGAAACGTTGAAGTCGTAGCCTTGACTTAAGTGAGAATTTCGAAGTATAATACGTTATAGTAGTGCATATAGCAAGGTGGCACGAAGAAACGTTCCTATGTAATTTTGAACTTTCCCTTTAAATGCGTCTCCTTCCTTGGCCTCACTTTTCAACGGTGATCATTAACGTCTCTCCTTCATTCTTCTCTTTCTTTTCTTTCTTCGGATTGAGAATTGTCTCTCTCTCTTAAATTTCTCTTTCATTTTCTATCTAGTGAAATGATCCTTAACAATGATTTCAAACGATAAACTTAATCCGAAAGAAAAATCCACTACCCCGATCTTATCGTTTTTCTCTGTTAGGTTGGTTAATACAAAAAAGAAAAAGATTGATTTTCGATTAAAGTCTTTTTTCTTCTTTGTTTTTTTTTTTTACACTCAATTTTTAATAATTAAATTTAAAATTAAATTATATTATATTATAATATAAAATATAATGAATGATATATATGAGATTAAAT